CTAGAGATTCGGAAGTAGTTCATCACTCTTTCTTCCTAGTCTGTCTTTGTCTGGAAGCTCATCTGAAACCTGTCCACCATGGGAGATCTTGCTGGTTATTTAAAATACCAGTGGCAGAGCCCTCAGAATCACAGCAACTCAATCCACCACAGCACGACAGACAGACGAGTGGTGGCTCTTTGGTTTTATGTTGATACTGTCACTTTAAATTTCTATATCAATCCTGATACAATCCTGATATAATCAAGATACAAGCAAGTGTTCTCTCCTGATATTGTCAGTCCTAATAACAATCAAGATAGTTTCTCCCAAGATGGTGGCTCCGGAAACAGCTGAGTGTCTTGAACCAGAAAACAATGGATTGGAATAAAAATTGAAATCTTTCAAGAAAGTGAGGTGGCACAAGAGGCTCTCGTTCATCTCTGCCAAGAAATTTGGAAGACAACTATCTGGCTGACTGATTGGAAGTTGATCCATATTTGTGCCCATTCCAAAGAGAGGTGACCCAATGGAATGCGGAAATCATCAGACAATCTCTTTGCTATCTCAAGCGAGTAAAGTTTTGCTAAAGGTAATACAGAAACGGCTACAATCATACATTGACAGAGAACTTTCAGAGGTTCAAGCTGGATTCAGAAGAGGCCGTGGAACGAGAGATAGCACTGCTGATGTCTGATGGATCTTGGCTGAAGGTAGAGAATATCAGAAAGATGTTTACCTATGCATTATTGACTATGCAAAGGCTTTTGATTGTGTGGATCATGACAAGCTATGGACAACATTTGAGAAGTATGAGTATTCCAGAACACTTAATTGTACTTCTGAGAAATCTGTACCTGGACCAAGAAGCAGTTGTTTGAACAGAGCATGGGAATACTGAAAGTTTTAAAATTGGGAAAGGTGTGCGATAAGGTTGTGTTCTTTCACCATACTTATTCAACCTGTATGCTGAGCAAATAATACGAGAAGCTGGGTTCTATGAAGAAAAACGTGGCATCAGGAATGGAGGAAGACTCATTAACAACCTGCGATATGCAGATGACACAACCTTGCTTGCTGAAAGTGAAGAGGACTTGAAACATTTACTGATGAAGATCAAAGAACATAGCCTTCAGTATGGATTGCATCTCAATGCCAAGAAAACAAAAATCCTCACCACTGGACCAATAAACAACGTTCTGATCAATGGAGAAAAGATTGAAGTTATCAAGGACTTCATTCTTCTTGGATCAACTGTCAACACTCGTGGAAGCAGCAGTCAAGAGATTAGACAACGTATTGCATTGGGCAAATCTGCTGCACAGGAACTTTATTTAAAGTGTTGAAGAGCAAAGATGTCAGCTTCAGACTAAGGTGCACCTGACCCAAGCCATGGTATTTTCAATAACCTCATATGGATGCAAAAGCTGGGTAATGAATAAGGAAGACTGTAGAAGAATTGATGCCTTTGAGTTGTGGTGTTGGAGGAGAATGCTAAAAGTGCTATGGGCTGTCAAAAGAACCAATAGATCTGTTTTGGAAGAAGTACTGCCAGAGTGCTCCTTGGAGGCCAAGATGGCCAAACTTCGTCTCTCATACTTTGGACATATTGTCAGGAGGGAACAGTCGCTGTAGAAGGATGTCATGCTGGGTAAAACTGAGGGTCAGAGAAAAAGAGGAAGACCCCAACAAGATAGATTGGCCAGGTGGCATCATTGATGGTGTCAACTGTGGCGGTGGTAGTGAGGTTGGCCCAGGATCGGACATTGTTTCGTTCTGCTGTGCATGGGGTCGCTATGAGTCGGTTCCGACTTGATGGCACCTAACAACAGCAACAACAACAGCCCCGTATTAAGTATAATGTAGTCTTCACTTAGCTCTTCAGGTGAGTTCATCACTTAAGCTTGCCCACTATTTGAACAAAGCCTAGGAATGTAGAAACTTTCATTTCGTTTTTGGACTAGTCCAATCTCAATTTATTCTCTAGGTTTTTTCATGTAAACCTTTAAAAAATTAAGGTCATATTAAGATGTTTTTTAAAAGCACAATTGCTTTTCAAATTTAATTTACATTGAAATACATACAGTATTGGTAAAATAAAAATATGTAAATATATTGACAAATATAAAATATATACATAAAATATAAAATTATATTTCATGTAATCATTTTGAAATGGTTTTTCAGGATGGATATACTCCACTTTTACTTGCTATAACTGAAAATAATGCAGAAATGGTAGAATTTCTTCTGAAGAAAGGTGCAGATGTGAATGCTTCAGATAACTCTCAAAGGTATTATGATGTTAAATGAGCTAGCACAGAGCTGTAGGTAGTTAAGGGGGTAAGACTATATATATACGTAATATATATTAAGGAGTGCAGTGGGTTCATATGTTAAACATTGGACTGAGAATCACAAGGTCTGCAGTTTGAGCATGCCAGCCACTCCTGTAAAGATATTATTAAGTGCCATCTAGTCAGTTTCGACTAATAGTGACCCTGTATAGGGTTTCTGGGAATCCTGGTGTAGCGCTGTGGGTTAATGTGTCAGACTGCAAAGCTGTTTGGACTGCAAGGTCGGTGCTTCAAGCTCACTAGCCACTCCTTGGAAACCCTATACAGGGTCGCTATGGGTTGGAATCAACTTGACAGCACTTAACAGCATAGGGTTTCTGGGGAGCAGCTGCTGGTGGGTTTGAACAGCTGACCTTGTGGTTCAAAGTAGAGTGCTGATCCTACCGTGCCCCACCAGGAGCAATCATATACAGGATTGCTGTGAGTCAGAACTGACTGGATGACACTTCACAACAACAGTAGTATATATTAAGGAGCATAGTGGGTTGTGTGTTCACTGTTAACTCCAAGGCCAGAAGTTTGGGTCCATTCCATGGGAGAAAGATGAGGCTTTCTGCTCTCATATAGATTTATAGCCTTGTAAACCCTATACAGGGTCACTATGAGTTGTATATATCTATTGCAGCAACAATGTACATTATACTATAAATATATATTATGCATTTATAATGTTTATTGTATGTATTCGTAATACATATATTTGATGTTTGGAAAATATTTGATTATTTGGCTTATGATTTTGAGCAAATTTACTAGACTCCCGGAGTCTGTTTTTCTATTTGCAAATTTAAGTGGTTTGACCAGATTGATAATTTTATAATTTTTATAACATTAAAATCGTACACAGAACTCTAATTTCTAGACCATAGCTGCTGCAGTAGAGGTGGGAGATCTAGAGCCCCAGGCATTTCCTTCCCTAAAATTTTGCATCATTTCCTTGAAAATGCTAGTGATCCAGGAATCTGAGACTGAAACCCCTTGAAATCTCTGCTTCCTATGGACTCCTGATCTTTAGATCTGTGAATGGCACAGTTTCAAGCAGATTTACCCATGCATTTCAATAGTAAACTGAGAAGATTAACATTTGATGAACATACCTGGTTAAGAGCCATAAACTGACATTTATTTTTATCTATTGCTCACAGAACAGCCCTTATGATTGCTCTCAGTGATGAACCAACAAATTTAGTCAGTGTTATCCTTCAGCAAGATGTGGACCTGTCCTGCCAAGATATTTATGGATTCACAGCTGAAGAATATGCTTCTTTTAATGGTTTTACTATGTAAGTGATACTGGATAAAATCCCTGTTTATCTTTTAACGATTGTGTATAGAATATCAGTACTTTATTTGGTTTGGTTTTGTGGGCTACCATTTGTTCTGGGAAAATTGTGTATACTTTAGTTGTATTTCTACGAGTATACTTCTATTCCTTCATTGTTGTTGTTATGTGCCGTGTAGTCAGTTTGAGCCTTCAACCTTGTGAATCACAGTCCTGTGCTTGTCCTACAGTGCTACATCAGGACTCCATTAGGAGAAGACAACACAGGAAACATCCCAATTTCTCTCTTCATTGCCTCACTCACTCAGGCTCATGTGAAGAGCAATGACATGTGACACTAAACCTTTCCTTGCCAACATCACCAGATATTGTAGTTAAGTGCTGTTGAATCAGTTCAACTCATAGCAACCTTGTATAGGGTTTTTGAGGCTATAAATCTGCAGGAACAGAAAGTATCTTCTTCTGCAGAATGGCTCGTGGACTTGAACTATGTGGTTTGCAGTCCAGTACTTATCCTCCAGAGCCACCTTGCTCCCATATAACCAGTTACATTACAGCCCAATTGTTAAATCCAGTAGTGTTTTTTATACCTCTTCTTACTTGTTCCCTCTAGTGACCTATCTCTTTGACATTTTCTATCCTCTCTCCTTTCAAGATACTATTCTTCTTCTCTATCATGAAAACAATCATGGTTTCATCTTCTTTAAATATTGGTTTAGTGTTTAGTTCTTTAGTTCTTGCTTAATGTAACCCTCTGCCTAACTTAAACTTCTGTCTGCTTGTTGATAGTTCCCCTATCACTATTTCCAATAATCATCCCCAGAACAAAGTAGAATATATATATATATATATACACACACACACATACATACACACAAATGTATGGATGTACTACAAACACATAACACACTTCATCATGAAATCTTAGCACTAGAATATTTTTGGGTAAGATAGAGCATTATTTTTGCTAACAGGGCTGTTACTTTCTTTCATTCTATGTTCTTGATATAAAAGTGATTGTGTTTTGATTTTGTATTATTGACTTTATTGATTATGGTAGTATGGAAGTTATTCAGAGGCCACAACCCCTTCTAAGTATCTTTATGTTGGTTGCATCTTTAGGAGAAATTTGCTAGTTAAATTGTGAAGTTAAGAAATTGTACTAATTTTTAACTGAAGAGAGAGAGGCAGCTTTTACTTTGTTATTAAAGGCACTGATTTGGGAATCTAGTTTGCTGTTTTGGCTAATTATTAGTTACATGACTGTGTGCAACTTATTTAATATGTGGGGGGTTCAAAAAATCATGGAAATATTCTACTCTTTTAATTACACTTTTCCATGAGCTTTTTGAAGCCCCCTTGTATTTCTAAAACTCATACATAACCTGGAGAAAATAAGATTAAGGAATGGGCAGCTAGACAGGTGCTTGGAGAACTGCTGTTTAAGAGATGATAAAACATTACTACCATTATCATCTTAATGTAATATACTATAAAGTGACAGAACAGACCTGTAAAAACATGGTACCAGACATTCCCATGACAGCCCTTTCTACTTAGCTGCTGGGGTTAATTAGTCATTGCATGTTGTTGTTAAGTGCCATTGAGTAAATTCTGACATATAGTGACCCTCTCTAAGGTTTCCAAGGAGCAGCTGGTGGGTTTGAACTGCTGCCCTTGTGGTTCAAGCCGACCTTGAGGTCCAGTACATTATCCTGCTGTGCTACATCAGTATTCTATCCATTGTAGTGGCCACACAGAACTCAGACACTATATTCACAGTTATGGGGTTTGTTAGGGAAGTGAACAGATTACAATTCAGGGTCAGAATTGGTCAGGTCATAGTTATTCCGATCAGGACAGCCTTTCCTAAGCTGTGCCCACAGACAGGTCTTCTCTGCTGATAAATGCCCATGGGACACACTATTCCATCATAAGCCTCAGCGTCAAGGTGTTTGACTTTAACTCTGTGAATCAACAAAGTAGCTCCTACAATTAATACTCAGAGACACCCCCCATTCTGCAAACAAGTCTCCTGCTAAAGTCCCTCAGCTTTCCTTGCTCTGAGCTGGGGACGCCCACTACTCAGTCTCATGCTCTGGCTCTGGCCACTGCTCCTCCTCTCCATTCATCTGGTATCACAGCTTTCTGCCCCTGGGTTCAGGGTCCAATGGATACGCTCCCCTCCCGGCTCTTCTTTGATGATAGTGCGATCCCCAAACTCTCTTACCTAGACCTGTCAGGAAAAAGTTGTGTGGGAGTTTACAAAGTCTATGGCTAGAAGAGACATTAAATAATTCATTGCACTTCAGGCCACCCTGGCTCTTCTAGCTATTGTCCCCTTCATACATAATGGATTAACTTTCAACATAAGAAGAATTTTAACTGAGCACAGCAGTGAAAGTTTGTAAACCAGTCACTTCATATCTTTATTTACTGTCATTTTAGGAAACCCAATTTCTAAATTGTCCTTCTTGATCAACCCAGTACTCTGAGCAGAAAAGCATGTTTTTTTAATCTAAAGTGTGTTCTGTTCCTGTTACAACTTTGAACCTATGCATCCATAAACAGTCCAGTCCAGAGCAAGCTGTCAAAATTGCAGCAATTGACACTAGCTCACAATGTCACACCTCTCTTCATTAGATTAGGTTCAGGTCAATTCAACCCTTGCCATCCTAGCTAAGTCAAATGGGTTGTTGTTGTTGTTGTTGTTGTTAAGTCCTGTTGAGTTAGTTCCAGCTCATAAAGATTGTCAGGGGTTTCTGAGGCTATAAATCTTTGTGGGAGCAGAAAGCCTCATCTTTTTTCCAAGTAGCAGCTGAATCCTTTTATAAGTTAGCAAAACCAGTGCCAACTGAAAATTGGTTTTGCTAATGCTGAAATAGAAATCTCCCTGTAATGGAAATTTAAAAAGTACACCTTAGTGTTGATTAGTTGGTCTCCATTATACAAATGTTGAAACAAATATTAAGAGACTGTTTGAAGCAAGTGTCCATATGTCTCTGTCCTGCCCTAATCATAAAAGCTATCTAACAGTGCTGATTTGAACATTAAATGGAATCACATATGCTGGGCCAGAACCACGTTTTATGGGTTCTGAAGCTTTTGACAATTTGGGGAACCATTTTTCAGAAATATAATGTCAAATAAAAAATATAAAAGGTTTGTGACTACCCAAAATTCTGATCCTGCAAAAGGAAATAAAAGGGGACATTGCAATAGAGACTGGACGCTTTAGAGACTGATCAAAATAGTTTCCTTTTGTAAATTACACAAAAGCACATCATCATGTGAGCACAAAGCTAGGTTTCCTCTTAGGGCCCTGGAAGAAGTCCATTAACACGTGAGACCTTTGAGCTTCATCAGTTGCTTGGAATCTCATCCTTTGAAAGTATGTAGTGTGTTTCTAACCTGTCTTGCTTACATTGTTGTGGTTCTTAAAGTGCTATCAAGTCAGTTCCGATTAATAGTGTGTCTGAGGAGCAGCTGGTAGGTTTGAACTGTCAGTCTTGTGGTCTGGAGTCTAGTGCTGATCCTACAGCACCACACCAGGAGCTTAGATTAGGTGGAAAGGTGTTTTTTTTTAATTTAAGGTTTTTATTGTGGATTGAGTGAAAGTTTACAGGGTACATCATCAGTTTCACATTCAACAATTCATATAACTTGTTTCATTACATTGATTATAATCCCCTCCATATATTAGGTGGAAAGTTTTAAGAGAAGGCTTGAGGTCGGTTAGGCTGGTGTGACACACTTAGGAAGACATCAGCTAAAGTCTAAGGTGTTTATTTGATTATTATGTATTATGAATTTAGTTTAATTTTTGTGCTAGATTCATGCATATTTTTTCTATGAGTAGATATCATCAATTAATGGCTAATTATGGAAAGGAGAAGAAAATTAAAAAGACATCTTACTCTGAAAGTACAACTTTGAGCACTATGTGGGGTCTAAAAGAACTGGAGGAAGGTAAGATGATATGAACTAAACAAGTAATTTTTCTTGTTTTTGTGTTTTTAAGAAAGCAAACAACTTTCTTAATTAATATGTATATTGAAATGGATTTTTTTTCTCCTATTTTGAAAGGACAATTATTTTAAAAAATAGTTCTTAAGAATATTTGTGATTAGAATATTCTGGAACAGTTTTGACTGAAGATGTAAAGATAGTGAATGATTGCTTAGCATCTCCTTTTCATCTATAATTTCTTGATTAGTTTTAAAAAACAAATACTAAATATCGAGATTTTAATAGTTATAAAACTATTATTAAATTTTAATTTTGTTCTAAAATAATTTTTATTCTAAAAACACACACACATATTTGATAAGTTAATCTAAAATATACTGTATTACATAAGATTTTAAATTAATAGAATATTTGTAAAGAATTTTGTAATAAAAATTATCTAGAGAAACAGAGCCTATTAGATGGAGATAATGTGATATCTATTATCACATTAGCTTATAAGGTAAATAAATATGTTTCCTATCAAGAGATTAGGAGGCCTGGTGTGGCACTGTAGGACAAGCACTCGGCCACAAGGTCAGTTTGAACTGCAAGGTTGGTGGTTCAAACTTACCAGCCACTTCTTGAAAACCCTATATAGGGGTGTTAGGGTTTGGAACTAACTCGATAGCACTTAACCACAACAATAGATAGAAATGGATAAATAAACTGAATGAGAAAGATTGATTGATTGATTTCAAGGAATTGACTCATGGGATGTGGAGGCTGATAAACCATAGTCTATACTGCAAGGTCGGCGGTTCAGACTCACCAGCTGCTCCTTAGAAACCCTTTACAGGGTCACTATGGGTTGGAACCGACTCAACGGCACTTAACAACAACATACATAGATAATTCTGGCAATCTTATATCCCAGATTTAAGTCAGCTGGTGGGGGAGAAAGAAGAATTCTGGCAGATATTTCTTTATAGTCTGGAGAAAGAATCCTCCCTGGGGAAACTTGCAGTTTAGACAAAAGTTTGGGTAGCTCAATACAACATTTGGGCTAGGGTTTGATCAAACACCTGAGCACCACAACCTCGTCAAGGTAAGATATAAAATTAGATATTGAATTTATAAGGCATCAGCAAAAATAATTTTTGGTGCTCAGTTTCAAAAATACATGTGATTATACATATATTAAACAATCATAGTGCTTTTTATTTTTTTTTGTAAATTGGAGTCCTGGTGTGGCACCGTAGGATAAGCACTGAACTGCTAACAAGGTTGACGATTCAAACCCACCAGATGCTGCTCAGAAACCCCATACAGGGTCACTAGCTATAAGTTGGAACCAACTTCATGACACTTAACAACACAAAGCGTTTATAGAAATGTTTTTGTTTGCTACCATTGATTTGTCCCCCAATTCATGGTGACCCCAAGTATTACAGAGTAGAATTGCTCCATAGATTTTCATGGTTGTAATCTTTACAGTAGTAGTTTATGAGGCCTACTTTATCTGGAGCTACTGGGTGGGTCTGAACCACCAAACTTTAGGTTGGTAACTGGTAGCAAACTGCTTGCTCCATTAGACTGAGAAAATTATCCACAGACAAAAGATGGCAAACTTGAAAGTTATATTTTTGTCAGTTTCAAAGGTTACACTTAAATTAATCTTATTTGTAAATGACTATAAAATGCTGAAGTATCAACACCAGATTAGAGTGGAGTAGCTGAAGTATAAGGAGCCCTGGTGGTACTGTGGGTAAGGACCTTTAAGTTCAGTTCAAACCCGTCCAGTACTCTGAGGGAGAAAGATGATGCTGGCTGCTCCGTAAAACCTTAGAAACTCTGTCTAGGGTCACAATGGGTCAGAATCAACTCATTGGCCAGTAGTGAGTAGCTGAGGTGTAGAATTTACAAAATATACTTAATGAAAGTATTTGGACACAAGTGAAGACAATACAAATATAATTTGTTTTCTAGATGAATAACCTCATTTCTACAAATTCTTGGCTGCTTCCTTGAATTAGAAAAGTCTGTTTTGAAAGAGCAGTTAAATGAATCATCACAGCATTGTCACTGACCACCCATTTGAAGAAAAGTTTGTTAAATGGAGTGCGATATTTCATCTTAGACAATGAAATTTCAGAAGACATGCATCTATATGAAACACCATTGAAGGGGAAGTTATGTAAAATGTTGGGTATGCATCAAAAATTTTAAATAAAAACACTAACAGTTTAGCTACAAAATAGAGGATATAATTTGAAATAAACATGTATTAAATTATTCTTTTATTTACAAGTATTTTCATCGTGAAAACCGTGATTTAAAAAAAAACAAAACAAAACACTGTATGGTAACTTGGTTATTATAGAAATGAACAAACATTACCCAGTGTCATCACCCAAACAAAACGTGTATTAAATTTTGGCTTTTTTTTTAAGTCTGTAAAAACATTCTTGCCTTCTTACCCCTCTGCAAAGAGAACTTATAACCTTACTTTTTGATTTTTTAAAACACAAATACTACCGTAAAATTTTTATTGTGTTCCTCTTTGTACCTTAAACACACCAAAGTATATTCTGACTTCTGTACCATTTCTTGGAAGAATCTTCCTTTAGATGTCTTTGGGGACAGCTTCCTTAATTCATATGTGAACTCAGAACCACCTTCTTGGGAAACCTTTCTGTCATGTACAGTGCTTTCTTATCGATTCCTCTCCTCCTAGCTTTTTGGAAAATAATCTGTATGAAATCTTGGATTTTCTTTTGTCCATAGTCAAATCTCTCCCCCATGTAGAATGTCCATTTTTATTGTTGATTCTGAGTAGGGGAGACCCCATAATGACAGAACAGAACTGTCACTTGGCTTTCCTAGGCTGGATCTTTGCAGAAGCACATATCCTGGTTGAGTCCCATGACACCGCTGCATTTCAGTTATCAGCCAAGCATATAACCATTTTACCACTTGTTGTTAGGTGCTATCAAGTTGGTACTGACTCATAGCGACCTTATGCACAGCAGAACGAAACACTGCACAATCCTGGGCCAACCTCACTACTGTTGCCATGCTTGAGTCCATCAATGCTGCCACTTGGCCAATCCATCTCGTTGGGGGTCTTCCTTCTATTTCTGTGACCCTCCACCTTACCAAACATGATATCCTTCTCCAGTGACTGGTCCCTCCTGACAATATGTCTGAAGGATGAGAGACGAAGTTTGGCCACCTTGGCCTCTAAGGAGCACTCTGGCTGCCTTCTTCTAAAACAGATCTATTGGTTTTTTGGAAGCCCATGTCACTTTCAATATTCTCCTCCAACACCATAAGTCAAATGTACCATTCTACAGTCTTCCTTATTCACTATCCAGCTTTCACATGCATATGAGATTATTGAAAATACCATGGCTTGGGTCAGGAGCACCTTAGTCTTCAAGCTGATATCTTTGCTCTTCAACACTTTAAAAAGATCTTGTGCAGCAGATTTGCCTAATGCAATACATCGTTTGACTTCTTGACTGCTGCTTCCTTGAGTCTTGATAGTTGATCCAAGAAGAATGAAGTCTGTCACAACTTCAATCTTTTCTCCATTGAGAATAATGTTGTTTACTGGTCCAGTGGTGAGGATTTTTGTTTTCTTTACATTGAAATGTATTCCATACTGAATGCTGTGCTCTTTGATCTTCATCAGTAAATGTTTCAAGTCCTCTTCACTTTCAGCAAGCAAGGTTGTATCATCTACATATCGCAGATTGTTAATGAGTCTTCCTCCAATCCTGATGCCATGTTTTTCTTCATATAACCCAACTTCTCGTATTATTTGCTCAGCATACAGGTTGAATAAGTCTGGTGAAAGAATACAAATCTGTCTGACACCTTTCTTAATTTGAAACGATTCAGTGTTCCCATGTTCTGTTCGAACAACTGGGTATTTATTCTTACTCAAACAAGTTTAACAACAGAAAATACCATATGATACATAAGAGATCTTTAACTGAATAAATTTTCTTTAAACACCCATATAAATAGTCTACTTTTCCTTTCATGTGGAAAACTTTGGAAGAGTTTTTTTTTAAGTTTCACTCCTCCCTCCAGACAACCAACCTAGGATTATGGCATAATGTGGTGCAGATTTACAGTACCCTCAAAATGAGAAGAAACAACTACAAATACCCATTAATCATTGGAAGGAACATGGAACATGTAAAGCATGAATCTAGAAAACTTGGAAGATGTCAAAAATGTAGTGGAACACATAAAGATAGATATTCTAGCAATTAGTGAGTTGACATTGATTGGTATTTGACTTTTGAATTGGACAATAATAATGGTTTACTATGCTAGGAATGATTAATTGAAGAGGAATTGCATATCATCAAAAAGAATATTTCAAGTTCTTGAAGTATAGTATTGTCTGTGATAGGAAAATAGCACTATGCCTACAAGGCATACCAGTTAATACCACTATTCAAATTTTTTGCACCAACCACTAAAGCCAGTGATGATGAAATTGAAGAATTCTATCTCTAGCTGCTAAGATGGCGGATTGGGTACATGTGCAGTGAGGAGCTCCGTCACCAACAACACAGAATACTGGACCAAGCAGGCCTGGGATAGTGCTAGAACTCTGAACCACATATAAAGGAATATTTAGAAGATTGGAAAGCTTACAGCTAGGGGAGTTTGTAGCAGAATCAAGAAATCCATTGCTTTCTAATTCAAGACATTCAGCTACTCCCGGAGCCACCATCTTGGGAGAGACAAAGTATCAAAATAGCCATGAATGCCTGACAGAACCAGAGATACATACAGGTGTGGACATTCTTTTTTTTTTGGTATCTGTTCATTGGTCTCTAGTGGTTTGTGCACCTTCATTCTGGTGACTAGAGGGGATGCTTAAGCGAATGGACCCCCCCCCCCAGGGTTCTATCATACATGCACACAGATCTCCTTGAAATTTAAAGTGACAGTTTCCACTTAAAACCAAATAGCCACCAGTAGTCTTTCAGTTTGTA